CTCAAATTTTTTAACATTCTTACATTTGATAATTTCAAGAACAGAACAAGAACCCATGTGGGAATAATTGATTCCTCCCCACCAAATGAATATATATATATATATATATGTATATACACACACAAACACACAAATATTAACAATTAACAATTAAAAGGAATTCATTTATCATATAATACAAAATATTATAGTTTAATAGTCTGTGTGATTTGTAATTTTTCAAATTCAATACATATTAAGAATATCAAACTACAAATACTCAATGTTAGTTTAATATATAATACTATTAGTTTGAAGAAATAATTTAGAGATTTATAAAAATTTGACATATTAACTGCTCTTATTAAACTATTTACAACAAAAAAAAAAAAGAAAATATTTACAAATTAATACTAAAACTTAGAATATGGAAGATAGGTGAAATACCTCCTTTCTAAAATATGGACTGTCAATATGTTATATCACTTCATTAATAATCAAAAGGCCATTATATAATATACCCCATGAACCTTTTGTCTCCTTTGTCTTTCGGCTTTGGTTAAACAAACGGGTTTAAACTGAGGAGCTTCTAAGCCAAGTACATGAGCTAAGAAGGCAAACTCCCATGATAGCAGGCTAAGCCAAGAGACAAGTGTATATACACACACACACACACACACATACATATCTAACCCCATGATATAAAATTTTTTAGCCATGTTGCTGAGTAGGATAGCACTATAATTTAGATAGATATAACTATTCAAATCCAGCGTTATAATTCCATCCATGAATTAAATTCTGGTTTGGTCATAATATATCCAAAAAGGGAAAGTAGGTATCAGCATTAACTAACGTTGGCCGTTGCACATTAAAATTATATCCTTTAATATTTTCTATAATATATATATATATATATATATATTCAAAAAAACATTTGCAGGATCTGGAATATGACCCTTCGAATACACTGATAGGAAACACCAATAGCCACGGGAATTGCCTGACAACTACCGAGCATGTAACTTGGTTGCATGGGAATGCATGATAGTAGTATTCAACATGTAGGCTAAATTAGGTTTTGTTGTTTAGGGTTGAGCAACCCCACATGCCTTTGCCCTGTGGGTCTCTCTAACTTTACAAACACATTACTTTTTCTCCCCAATAAGGACAATACTTAACTATGCTTTCCTCATCTCACATGGCAAAGACTTTCATCTGGGTACCCATCCTCTTGTGTTCATTCATTAATAGGGTCCATCGACTAATCGATTTGTCACTTGAAAATTTTTGTACTTTTTGTTAATTGTAATCAATTTCTTTTTCTTTTTTTTTCAGTCCAATAAGGCGTTGGCAATTAGATTTGAGCTTCTGTTGATTATAACTTTTATAATCAATTGTATTTGTGTATTTTAAGGATTGTGAATTTGGAGTTTAGAAGAGAAATTTATACTGATGTTATAATACGTGTTTAAGCTAGTGCATGAACATAAGGTAATTAACTTAATTAAAATTGCACAATAGATAAAGAGTAAGAGTAAAAAATATAAAATATTATATTATAAAAAAGAAAATATACTTGAACCAATTTCTTAACATTTAACTGTGACTATATTATAAAGTAAAACAAAGATGCAGTTTGTCCTAAAATTTGATGATTTATTTGTTGAAAATATTATATTTTTTCTATTCAGTACAACATACTGGAATTATTGATACATGTGAGAGGAGGATTTCTTGTCATATGTGCTAAATACCTCTTTGTACCAATCATATTAGTTTTAGACAGTAAATAATAAGATACATACGATGGGACAGGGTAGGACTAGATATAGAAAAATATATTTTCATGTTAAGAAAGTATCACAACTTATGAAAATGCTTATATTTTTCTCTGGATCACAACTTATAAATTTTTCTATGATGATTATATTATCAACATTGATTGATATAAATAAATGAAGATTATTTTTTTATGAAAATGCACATATAAAGAATAATAAACCTCTAGTAGAGTAAAAATAATAATGATAGCAAATATGAACTAAAACGATTAAAACACATACAAAGAACCCATTTTAACTCATAAATAGATTTGTCTAATTGGTATACATGGCGAGGAAAGTCTCCATGAATAAAGCCCAAAGGTTTGGCCATATATATTTCTCTAAGATTATCATAAACGATACGAAAAACATCAAGTCGTTAAATACCCATTTGAATGACATTGTGAGAACTAAAATATGTTTGATGATTACAGTGAATTTCCCAACTAGATGAAAATTTTCATTAAATCAAGCCCTTTACAACAACACTAGTTTTGTACCTTTCTAAATTTTTATAGGGATTATACTTAATCTTGCACATTTACTTGTTGCTTACAAGGTTTCAATAGGGAGGACAAGGTACCTAAGATAAGCTGTAATGGGCAACTAAAACTTAGAACTCCTTAGATATGAATTTTTCACACTTTTAAACAGTTAATTTATTTTTATGCATTGGAAGATTTAGTTTGTGAGTAATTAGGAGAGGAGAAAAGAGAAATAATTGTGACATTTGCTTGAGATTTGTGAGGGTGATTAAATGTAAAGTTAATCAAATTTAACACAACTCGTTTACATGACCCATTTAAGCACTTGAATTAAACTGGTTGGGTTTAATATAAAAGAGTTTGGATCATTAATAGGATAGACTCGTTAAAAATTAAGATTAAATATGTCAAACTTACGTAACTTATTTTGACCAATTTAAATTTATCTAAATAGTTAAATAGTTAATTATATTAATATATTTAGTACTTTATATACATAGATTATATGCAATAATAACATATACAAATAATTTTTTGGAGATAAATTCAAGTATAATTAAATATTGTCATTCATTATTTTACGCGAGTGAAGTGCAACAAACAATCATCAATGAACAAAGCGTGACAGGACATAAAAGATGACTTGATGAGGATAAGTA